TTCCTTAAATAATACAATTTTTTATTAAATTTTAAGTTTTGTAAATTTTTAAATACTAATACTAAGTGCTATTTAACTGCTAACTATATATTTTTTAAACTACAATTTGATTTTCATTATTTAGGTAAGGAGTGTCCTGTGGTGGTACAAAAATAATTTTTTCAAATGAGAACAGCCCTTTTCTACTGTTAGAGTTAAACAGATGACAAAATGATTTTTTTTGAAAATATAGTGTTACTCTGATATAATATGGTCTACGTTAAACGTCAAACGAGTTTCTGCTCCGATATACGGTCTTCAATAATATATTTATACATAGGTATCGGCTGATTTAGCTGATACCATATTGAAAATTTAAAATACCGAGATATAGGTACCTACTATCTATCTATACCTAATGAATGGCTAAATATATCAAATTGCGAGACAAAATATTTTGTAAAAATTATAATTTTTTTATATATTATAATTCTACTGTACCTACGTGTGTATGTCACTGAACTTCTCCTAAACAGCTGGTGGACCGATTTGAATGAAATTTGTTGTGTGCTTGAGTGGGTCCTTGAATGGTTTACATTCACAATTGGACCCATTAAGGCCATTAAGCCCAACCCGGGGAGGTGCTCAAACAGGGATTTTGAGATTTACGATTTAAATTGTTGTTTATAGTCTATTATAGATGTTTGCTATTGGTTATAGGAGAAATAATTAGTAGAAATTAATTTATTGTTGGTGGCCATAAGTTATTCGGACAGATCAGTTACATGAATATATAAAATCGAATTTTCGCAAATTGTCTACTAAGGTGGCTGAGTTGCACTTATAGCAGGTGGATTGCTTACTTGATATGTTGTCTCAAATTGTCCTCGATTATAGTAATTTTTTGTAATCAATAGCATTTATATAAACGAAAAACAAAATAAAATTAATGTATTTTAATTTCACAATTACGCATTTTCTACGTACGACTTTTGTTTTATTGTGCCGATATACTCATTGACCACGTCTCCATTAGTTCACGACAAAGCCGTATTCCAACTAGGATTCGAAACGAATGAAAGGACTGATATAGGTACATATAAATATTTATATATATATAAATTAATGTTTGTGTGTAGATTAGACCTCTGGGAAGAAGATAGACTAGGTAATTTAAAATGGGTTAAATTTGGTTTTTTTTTATTCATTGTATTTTAGTACTGTTAGGATTTTGTATTAATTGATTATATTAATCCACCATAGGTGGAATTAAGTAGGCGGCGCCGCGGAAGTACTGCGAAAGCAGTCCCCGCTGCGCCGTCGGTTCAAACACGGAAAAAAAAAAAGGTGGAATTAAGTAAAAACGACAAACTTGGTACAACTTTGATACTTAAGAGTTAAATCATACACTTACGTACAAACAGCACGGGGTCCGCGATCTACCGTAGGTAGATTGCCTACCTGATAATATAATGCTTCGAATAAGAATTTCGAGCAACAGAAAAGTTAAATCTAGAACATCATTCACCTGATATTAAAAAAGGCATTGAACAAAGTTTGAGTCATATACAGTTTGAACATTTAACGGGTAACTAATTGCAAGGGATAATTGATCAGCTAGTATGTCCATACAATTATAGGTAAATATATTTATTCGATAAAAATTTCCAGTATCGAATTATTCGGATTTATATCGGTTTTTCGGTACTTAATTAATATCGGATTAAAAGAAAAAATAAATACATAGATTTTAAAATTATTACCTATGTCTGAACTTTGATGTTCTTACACGTATTCAGTTAAAATTCGATCGTACAAGACCGTGGTTAAAAATGTTATTTATCATGTATCACTAAATAGGTAATAAATATGCACTTAAGTCACAGTATAGATCTGCAGACCACTATTTAAGATAGTAGGTACGGTACTATCTTAAATAGTGGTCTGCTATTAGTACCTATTTAAGTTACTATCTTTAATCGTGCTTCAGACTTAACTACTTAAGAAGTAAGACTGAAAAATCAGTGCTGCTTTGGTATCTAAAGGTATCCTCAAAATTAAATTAAATCACATTCCATACAAACGTGCATCACTAAACCTTTTGATATTTTATTTACAGCCATAAAATTAATTATAATTTAATAATATTATTTGTAGGTAGGTACCTATAAAACCTATACCTATATGAATTAGGCATCCACCCACACCGCCCATGTAAAATCAACGGTTCAAATACTGAAATACACCACCTTTAAGTACACTTGTACGTATTTACTATTTAGGCGCCACTGAAATGTGTATATTTATTATTTAATATAATATAATGGCTTTCAAAGTTCTGGCCAAAACCACTCTAATTACGTGTGAAAGCTTCAGGACGGGGTCAACGCATCTCCCCAAAAGTATGTAGGTACTCAACAGTCAACGTTAACCCTTCTCCCCAGATTGTCACGATGGGAAATGCGAACCTCAAGTAATGTCATGATAATCAATTTGACAATATTGGTAATTTTGCATTTCAGCGGTTTATATTTATATAATAGGTACACATAATGTTTTACTACATTATATTTTATAATATCATCATCATTGATTAAGTATACAATGGACAATGGTATCATACACATAACAAATAACAATATTATTATTATTAAAGTGGTATTATCAGTGGCGCCCAAGATATATTTTTCAGGTGTAGCAAGAAAAAATTTTAACCACCCACCCACCCTCTCAAAACTCAAAATTATATTATTTAATACATTTTATCATATTTGTATTGATAATATTAGTAAATATTAAGGTATCAACCAATATAATCTGTGATTAATTATGAACATATTTCAAGTTTATTATTTTTTGTTATTATACCCATCCACCCCTTATTTTCAAGGTGTAGCGACTGCTACACTTACAAATAGGGTTGGGCGCCACTGGGTATTATAATACCGCACGGCGCACGACAACGGTCGGACTATAGCGCTGCGCCAGTCACCGCCGTCTCACGTGATAACGTCGATTCGTGTTCGCGTCGGCGGCGGTGGGTGGTGGGCGGGGGCGGCGGCAGCACTCATACGATTTTCTGATAACCGAAGCGTCTACGGCGGCGCGCGGTTCGCGGGACCGAAATCGTTAATAAAAAAAATGTAATACAATAATAATAAAATAAGTACACGGACAAAAAATACTGCTGGTAAGGTCGAACACTCGAACACCTCCGACGACGCCAATCGTCATCGGACAATAGCGCGACGCGGAAGTGCGGTAGTTAGGTAGGTAGGTACCCACTCTTTTCTTACGCGCACACAATATCAGTGGTGAGCGGTGAGCGGTGACTAGTGACTCGTAGCCAGTAGAGTTACTGCACGCACGTCGCGCACTCGAAACGACAACGGACGTCACGGGACCGCGGTCTGTCGTTTTTGTACGTTTTAAGCCAGTATAAAACAGAAAAAAAAATTTAATATTTTAGTAGTCGCCCGCGGTCGGTTGCAGTGAGCAAGTGTGGGTGGACACCTACCTATCTGTTCTACTGGTTCACCTGGCATCGACGACGTATCAATACGGTGCACCATAGTTTGTGTTCAGACATGAACGTTCGATGATCATCGTTGTAAAGGTACGTGTGAGTAGGTGTCTACTGGACAGTGGACACCGTTGTCTTGTATGATATTATTATGTTACCTGAGCACCTTATGTGTAGTGTAATGACTGTGAGCCTGTTCTTCTGTACCTAAATACCATTTTAATGATAGGTACCTATTATGTTTTTGTGGTGTTTACCTATATAGTTAGGTACCTAATGATAAATATGAGACTGGATTGATGTGAAAATAAAAGTTTTGATGTTTTCAGATTAACATTATTATATTCCAGCTGTAGGTAGTATCTATTTAAAAACACGGCTATACCACCTACAAGATATTACAATAAATCTATAGAGTTTTATTGAAGTATATACGTATAGATGTATATTTTGTTATAGATATCTTGGTATTGTATTTATTATTTGGTGCCTTTTTATCATATTATTAAAAAAATGGAAAGATCATAATATCATAAATTTAACTTCCATAATATTAAATATTTTGGTATTCAATAGGTTTGCTGTTATAGTGTTATATGACATTAGATATTATAATCTAATTAAATGTGTTAATCTTGTGACTAAATTTATTTTGTTGGTACCTATACCTATATTCTATTACTTTAAAAAATGCAAAAAATGTTTTTAGTGCTTAAATTAACAACTAGGTACCTACTTGTAGATTTTTCACCAAAGCACTTCATTTTATCTAATTTTCATTCATTCATGTTTTTATCTAATTTATAATTTAAAGACTCACATAGCCACATAGGTAGGTACCTAAAATAATCATTTTAGATGCATAATATCTGTTTACTTTTAATGTTACATTTTATCAATTAATTTCAATAAAATTAAATGTCTAAACTATCATTTAGGTAGTTAATTATCAATATGAATATGAATAAGCCTACACTATAGTAGATCACTAGTATATTTTACATTATAATTTAACAACAAAATGGATTGATAGAGTAATAATATGTAGGCACTGATGATTCATAAATACTGACCCATACATGTGCAATTTTATGTGAATCACTATTTCTAATATATGTAAGATGTAGATTCTGGATATTGTATTAAAATATACTACAATTAAATCCAGTTAAGTAGCTAAAGTATCTAATTATTCACCTAAATTATTCAGTTATATTGAATTACTCAGTTAGCCTACCAACTACATATAGGTACTATTGTATTTCTATAATATAATTGTCAACAAATTATTATTAGTTTTATCAATATTATTGAAGATATTTAAATACTTAATTAGTTATATTTAACTCAGATATTTGAACAAGGTTTCCTTTAGACTATTATTAAGACATTAAGTAGATTTATTTATTTTTATTATTTACTATTAGATACCATAATTATAAAGCTTAATTATTTATTTATTTCAGATAAAATACCAAATATGACTTTTAAAGGCTGTATGAAACGGTAAGCAGACTAATATATTAAATTATAATTTATTTAAATATAATGATGTGTACATTTTTGTTGATTTTAAATTAATGTACATAGTGTAGATCTATTTATTGTACAATATGGAAATATTAAGCATGGATTAGTTGGTGCTTAGAATTTAGTCATAATTTAAAAAGATAAAAAATGAAGAGTTTTACTACTTGTCTAAAAATCAACAATTAAGTTAAAATACACATGCACATATAGTAAATTATATATCTATCTAGTTGTCAGAAAGAAGAAATTTTAAATACCTTTTATTGGCCGTATATTCACATTTTTATCGTAAATTTAACATTATAATGGATAGCTCATACTTATAGACAACCAGACCAGAAATATTTAACTTATTTATATGTATTTATGTCATACTTAATTAACATTTTTAAATATATCTTTTAATGTTTTCTAATCACAAAGTTAGAAAATAGAAATATTATATTGTTTCATTAATATAGGAAAATAATATTATTTTAATCATATTTATATTTTATATAATCATATTTTAATTATTCAATATCATGGTATCTTTTTTTCTATAAATGCCTACAGTATTTTATAATTAAATTTCTAGTTTTGATGAATTATTTTTATTATTACTCATATTATAATTATAAATAACAATATATCTTGAAATAACTTTTTTAATGTTTGCTAGTAATTACTAGCTAATTTAAGTTTTATCTATTAGAACTAAAGACCGGATTTATATTCTCTTAAAATACCTAAAATATGATGCTAATATTCTCAAAAAAACCTTCAAATATTCTCTTTATATTCTATAAAAAATTTAAAAAATATGCTAAAATATGCATAAATATGCAAAAATAATCATTAAACATCATTATAGTAGGCTTTAATATGCATTTTAAAATCTTTTTTTTTTAACATTGTTTTATTAGTGAGGAATTAATTAGGTATTAAAGTTGCGTATTCTAATGGAGTACTTTAGTAAGAGTTGGAAATTATAAAAAAAAATTTTAAATGTTCAAAAAAAATTTTCCTGGATACCGTAAGAGCGGGATACTTTGCTCCAAATATATTTCTTTTTTAGTTTGAACCTATACTATATCTTCAATAACAAAGATAAAAGTTATCTGTTTTCGTTGTTTTATATGTATAGATGTTGAGAGGTAAGAACAATACAAAAAAATTTGAATGTCTTACTAGTGACTTACTTACTTATTCCCAAACGTTTGGAGCAAAGTTAAAATACATAGCAGGTTACATTGCACAATGATTAAAATTACCTATAGTGCTTGTTTCTTAACTTATTTGAACCTACACATGATATAATTTTTTTTTTTTTTTTAGTTGATTAAGTCTTTTTTCAATACATTTTAAATTAAATTTCAACCCCCTAGATTTTGGATAACTTTTCCATTATGTGTTTTTGAAAACAATTTTTTTCAAGACATACATCTTGGAGGTAAACTAATAGATTGATGTTCAAAATGTTTGAAAAAATTAGTAATGTTAATAAGAATAATATAAAAAAAAACTACAATCTCTTATCTTAAAATCGTAATGTGCTACGATTGATATCAATAAATTTTTTTTTTTTAGCAATGTTTAACCCCTGAAGTAAATTATCCCTCTCTCACGGTACCGTAATATTAAAATTTAAAATTAATACAAATTTTTTCTCACAATTTACGAAATATTCCAAAATATGCTAAATGTGTTAAATATTTCTGTAACCCATGAAATATTCTCAAATATGTAAAGAACACTTTTTTCTAATTGAAAGAATCATCTACAGTTTTTACTCTCATAAGACTGCATTGACCTAGTAACAATATTTAAAAACATATAAATCCGGTCTTTATTTAGAACACTTCTAGAAATGGAGTGATGATAAATTATGACATCTGAATTGAAGTGGAATTATACAACTACAAAAATCATTTAAAAATCATTCAAACTCAAATCATTTTAAACCAAAATTTAATATGAACTAATAATTTTTAAACAAAAAGAAAGTCTTCCAGTATTATTAAGTAGACAAATTAGATAAAAGAAACCGAATTATTATATACAAATATTGTAATAAAAATAATCATAGGTATTAATTTTAGAAAATGCTACATTAAAGTAAGATTTTCAATATTTTTCATTAAATATATTTTTTTTCATAATATTTTAATTACTAATTACTATGCGTATTTCTTCACATGTATTTTAGTTAGTATATTTTTTTAGTCATATCACTAATATCAGCCTATATAATCTTAAACCTGTAGGATGCACTGCCTTAATAACAAATTTCTATAGCACTGATTAATAATGTAAACTTATTAGTTCTTTGCTCATTGCTGTATAATTGTATCAATAATATATTTGTAATCTATATGCATTATTTATGTACATTTATATATTTATATAAAAGATAAGCAAATTAATCTAAATAAAATTACTTAAAATCCTAAACATTTTATTTTTTATTTATAAAATACATCAACATTTTTGAATCGAATAAGAATAATAACAATAGTAGTGCTCTTATTATTATCTATAATAATAACATGTTGGTATGGTAATTTTTCTGACAACAATTGTTGGTTTTAGTGGAATGTCTAATGTTTATCATATATACTTAACATGATAGTTTTATTTGTGTAGGTTATTTATTGTGGGTTCTGGTGTAGGTATTTATTTTTTAAACTATTTTCACATTAAAATTATGACTAATAAATGATAATATAATAATTATAACTTATTATTAGTATACATGTGACAACAATTTTGTACTACAAGCAATTTGTATGACTTGTAACACAACAAGTTCTAGAGTTTATTAATAGTTTTAGAACAGTTGTGAAACTCAAAATTCATTTGAATGAACTGAGTGTTAGGTATAACTTTATAAATAACCCATATTTAGGACTTTCATGAACAGAAATGTATCGCACAATCAAAAATTTGAGTAAAGTTTATGAGTAATTTAAAGAAATAATTACAATTTATAATAAATAATTATTTAACTATCATAGTACCTAGGTATATTGTTATAATCATCATTCATCATTGTCCATTGATAATTAGAATTGGAAGTTCTGTGGTAAAAATCTAAAATATTCAAAATTATGAAAAAAAAAATGTATAGTTAATACAAATGGAATTATTCAAAATTATAACTTATTAATTATTAATAATTAGCTATAATGGTGTATTTATTAGTATATTACTAAATACTCTGTTATTTTTTTATTAAAAATTACCGTAATATTAATGGAATGTGGTGTAAAACATGTATATACGTTGTCAACAGTCTAAGGCTCTTAGCGTTACTATTGGCCAAAACAAAAAATATAGCTTTATCAAAAAATTTTGTTATAGTGCAAAAATTAGCATTTTGTTACTTTGAATAAATCTTTAGAAAAAGAAAATACCAACATTAAACAATTGAATATAATATACACAAAGCTGGGCAGTAACTAGTTAAAAAGTTAAAAGTTACTTTTTTTTAAATACATTTTTTAGTAACTAAGTTATTTCATTTCTTACTTAACTTAGTTATTTTGTTAAAATTAAAGTTATTTACTAATTTTTCGTATCTGGAACTGTATATTTTTTGCATTGATTTATCAACCAAATAACATATTTTTACATAAATATCATTATAACATAAGAAGATCGACACGGGTATATGAATATCCACATTAGTCTTGTACTATAATACGTTTATAATACTGAGGAACACTCAGACAAAGCAATATCTGCTAACGATTGTACTAAATATATTACTATTGCTTAATTGAAAAATATAATTAGGAACTTTAGCTAGATACTTATTTATATTTTCCCTGAAATTGTGGCGTTTAATATATCTGTTATTGTTAGTATATAATAATAAAATCGCTAGAATAACTGGCCTAATTTCTGATACATATATCCATATACAGTTTGTTACAAACTACACTCTACAATGATATACAATAAAACCTCCCTATAAGACGGATATCCATTTACAAAGGAAAATAACAAAAGTTCTGTATTACCTATAAAAATCAGTTGGTACTTCAACTTGGTACCAATAGCAATTTTGTTATAAGGAGATTTTACTGTACCTAATAATATTATACATATGATATAAAAGAAAAGTAACTTAACTTAACTTAGTTACCCAAATTCATTTATATTTTAAAGTTAACTTTAACTTAGCTTAGTTATTTTTTAATTTAAGATAACTTAACCTAACTAGTTAAAAAAATTGGTGAAGTTACCCAGCTTTGAATTTACATAGGTATGAAACATAATCATGCTTACCACTAGGTAGTCTCATGGTAGGTAATAAGGATTCCTTGAATATTTTTGTTTTATGTGTACCTGTGTACACAATTTTAAAGGTAATAGATTTAAGGTGTTAATATGTTGAATATTAGTATTATATATAATATTCTGTTATGGGAAAAGTAGGAATTTCTGGCATTATTTCGAATGCCCAATAAAATTTGTGCAATATGAAAATGATAATTTTAAAACTCCAATATTTCCTACAATACTTGGCCTAAGTAAACTCTACCCAAAATCTCATGTGTAATGTGAATTGTGCATTGTTAAAAAAATAAAGAAAGTATATAATCTGCACCTTGTTTACTATTATATTATAATACTACTGTCAATATTAACTAATTTGAGTAAACAATGATTGTTGTACGTTGTGTAAGACTTTGTATAAAACACACAAGTGTAGTTGCAAAAGTTTTACTTTACCCTATAGTGGTTCATATCAAATAAGGTTGACAAGTGGACCGCTCAACTGCACATTAGGTGTCAAGTGGGTCACTGATGTACAAAAAGCAATTCTGAGTGGTGGCTGTCTGTCTATATATAATATATATCCTATTTATAGATTGTCTGTCTCTATAAATAACCTCTTCAATTGAATTTTAACTTTAAATATCTATAAAAAAAAAAATTATGCTTACATGTATATTCTTTAGATTTTTAAGATTCAGTATGAAGTACTT